TTATTATAGTGAAACTGTACCTTAGCAGGTACAATACCCGTTGAATATATATAAACATATTTATTATAGTGAAACTGTACCTTAGCAGGTACAATACCCGTTGAATATATATAAACATATTTATTATAGTGAAACTGTACCTTAGCAGGTACAATACCCTTGAATATATATAAACATATTTGTTATTGTGAGACTGTACTTAAGCAGGTACAATACCGTTGAATATATATATAAACATATTTGTTATAGTGAAACTGTACCTTAGCAGGTACAATACCCGCTGAATATATATATATATATAACGTCTAGGTTTAACTACAAACAAAGAATATCATAGTTTCTAATACTTTATTTTATGTGTATTCTGAGACAAAACTATGTTCAAACGTGCACGTATGGAATTTATTTATTATGCTGTACATCAATACATGTCCGTCTTCCTTGACACCGTAGATGGTGTGGCCCATTGATTATTGTGTCAGGCTGTGTATCCCAGGCTCCGGGGTTCGCGCCCCTTTACCGGAATAAGAAAATTGCTCTTAGCACTTTGTGGTCGTGAGTGCATTATGTGAGTAACAGTCAAATCTCACTATTTGGTGAGAGTAACCCAAGAGTTGGCGGTGGGTGTTGTTGATTAACTGACTTCCCTCTAGACTATCACTTCTAAGTTAGAGACGGCACGCGCAGATAGTGTGAAATTCAACAAAAAACAACAATGATATCGTCATAAATGATATTTATCGACAACATCTTTATAATATTATGACTGAAAATGCAAAAGTAAATTTAGTTTATAATCTTAAAGTTAATTCAATATGCATCAGTGTTGTGTCGCTTATTTTCGCGAGCAGTATGCGCGGGACTTTTAAGTATTGCGAGTGAGGCTATTATATAATGTTGATCATGCATTTAATGAACTTACAGAACTTGAACTAACAGTTTAAATGTTTTTAGGATGAGAAATATGTAAAAACTACGTAAACTATACTTAGGTACAGATTTACTTGTTTTAAAGGAAAGCCACATTAGACTATCTGTTGTGTCCACCGCGGGTAACCGAACCCCGGATTGTGCTGTTATAAGTCCGTAAGCTTACCGCTGTCCCATATTATTGGCATCCAGTCCCACCTTTCTTGATGTTAGGGTTAACACAAACACACACTGTTTGAAGACGCTTCTAGAGATGTGTTGCCAATTTTTAAGTTCGTATTCAAGGTATAGTGAGAGAGGTTGGGTTTGTTTTGAATTTCGCGCAAAGCTACACAATCTGCGCTAGTCGTCCCTAATTTAGCAGTGAAAGACTAGGAGGAAGGCAGCTAGTCATCACCACCCACCGCCAAAGACTAGGAGGAAGGCAGCTAGTCATCACCACCCACCGCCAACTCTTGGGCTACTCTTTTACCAAAGAATAGTGGGATTGACCGTCACATTAGAAAGCCCCCACGGCTGAAAGGGCGAGCATATTTGGTGGGACGGGGATTCGAACTCGCGACCAGCAGATTACTAGTCAAGCGCCGTAGCCACCTGGCCATGGTGGGCCGGGGAGAGACAAAGAAGAAAAGTTAGTAGTCAGAACAAGCTTTCGAGGCATACCGTTAGTCTTGCTTTCACAAAGGCAAATGATATTCCATTTTTTACGGATTCTTCGTTCTTATTCTTGGAATAAGAAACAAGACGATCCAACAGTTGAGAGGAACTTTAGTGTAAAGTAAGGATTTCGAGAGAATCAACAAAATGTAAATATTAGGTAAGACCGGGTTGAATCTTTTTTGACTGTCCCTTTTAATGCGTATAACAGCTTCATTGGAAAACTGAAAAAAACATGTGGTTTTAATTAAAATAAAAACAAAACAAAAATGTGTTCAAGTAAAACGATTTATTTACGTAGAGTGCTTTCCACTGACAGAAAGTATAGAAAGATAATTTACTGTTCAGTTTGCTTGTCATAATTTCGACATACAGTCGTGCCTCTTTGCTTGTATAATACATAAAAATTCACATATTTCTCAAATAATTGTTTGACACGTTTGCGGTAACCTCTTTTTAATAAATGATCAGTCAAAAACAGTAATTTTCAAATAAACATATACACGAATGAATCACTAAATGTTTCGAATGGGTCATTATAAATAAGATAATGAATGCAAGTTGGAAATAATAACAGTTACTAACCGTTTTAAATATATAAACAATGGTTATATATATTTATATATATATATATATAAGCACTGTTGTTTATTTACGATTAGTTAGTTTTAGGAACTTTTAACTTACATTTTGGAACGAAATACTTAACAAGAATTTAATGTCCTATCTGTGTGCTGTAATCAAACAACAAAATCATTTTTCTAAGTACTATAATTCAGTCAGTAAGGCCTTACACCTAAGAAGTGTAATCAAATCTTTAACCTGTGCACCGCGTTCATTGAATGCCCTACTTAAGCACTGTAATAGAGTCATTTAATACCCTATCTACACACTGTAACCATGAGTGTTTTTTTCATCTTATTTATGCATGTTAATGAAGCTATTTTCTCTCTTTTTTTTTTCACTCGAACAAAACGATTTATCCTTTTTATAAGTTATGCGAATTATTTTTATTTTACTTTTGTAAGTATCTCACAACTTTTGCTTTATTTAAACATTTCAAGTAGTAGTTACTATGTAAATATTTTGTAGGATAAAGCAAGTGTCAATTTTGTGGCAACAATTTTATCGTATACTTATTTATTTAATATAACCCATTTTCCCACTCTTTCTGAACTCAAACTGAGATCTTATTTATGACTTGTTTCTTGTTTCCTTTCGGATTAATAAACCAATGATGTTGACTTGTGAAATACAATGCTAATTAAATTAATTGCTTCATTACTTGTTATCTCTGAGTTCATTTGGCTTAATTCCTCTTATTATATCTGCAGCTTTCTCGCCAATCATAATCACGGGCGCGTTGGTATTACCAGAAACAATGGTTGGCATAATGGAAGCGTCCGCAACCCTTAGATTCTTTATTCCTTTCACCCTGAAAGAGAAAAAAATAATTCGGTTAACCAACTGATTTATAAATCACGTAATAAAACAACGATAAAAGTAGTGAGGTTGCTAGACATAAATTATCAAATAAAATTTGGAAAATTGGGGAATTAAAGTTGCGGGATTACTCACGTGGAACGTCGCGTTCTTTGAATCATAACGAACATGATTGATTTTAAATAAACAAGCTTAAAACGGTCACTGACTCAAACATTAATAAAAATTAACGAATGTTAATCATGCACAGTGACTACCAAGTATAGGTAGTCCAAGTTTTCATTTCTAAATGTTCTGTTAAGTTTAGAGTATCCACGGCGAGTATCTTTACTTTCAAATGTGCTTTTTATATCTTCTAAGACCATATAACCTACGATCATTATCCGTATAGAGCATAAAAAGTACAGAAGGTTGAGTACGTTATATTACAACGGTTTTTATTATACAGATCAGAGTGTCACATGTTTATTTATTTGTAAATCAAAGCTACACGAGGAAATCTGCGCTAGCCGTTCCTAATTTAGCAGTGTAAGACTATAGCTAGTCATCACAACCCAGTGCCAACTCTTGGGCTTCTCTTTTCCAACGAAAAGTGGGATTGACCGTCACATTAGAACGTCCCCGACTGAAAAGGCAAGCATGTTTGGTGGGACGAGGATTCGAATCCGCGACCTTCAGATTACGAGTCGAGCGCCCTAACCATCTGGCCATGCCAGGCACGCGTGTCACGTGACAACTAAAATCGATGAAACTTTGTAGATAAAAAACTTCAGACGGCTGAAGAACAAGTTTCTGCGTTCAATCTCCAACCAACAACAGTCACAATCATCTTCTGCTTGCTCGTTCAACCTATCAAGTCATATCCTCAACATCGACATCGAAGATAACCAAGATGGATTCTTCCCAGCCTGGTAGACATTCCCATCGTCTCCTAGCTCCATTGAATGTATAAAAATGTATTAAAGCTTTTTCATGCCTCATGAAAATCATTATTTTAATCACATCTGTTTTTGTTCCAGCCATCGCCGTGCAAGGTCAGGGTATCTTATTCAGTGCCCTGGGCGTGAAAGTGGGTTTCCTCGGGGTACTCCCATTTCCCTCAAATATGCTTTTGATCCTGTGATCCCAGCCCTGAGAAGGACCCTCCCTTTTAATGTTAATATTACAAATTCTAAACTAATTATGTCAGTTTTTTAAACAGTAATGAAAGTATTCAATCTGTATGTCCCTGCTCTGCTTTACACCGCTCAGTTCATCGAATGTCCGATATCACGCATCACACATTCCTAAGCCACAATGGATCGACAGAAGCACGTGTCTCGCCGACAGAAAACTCCTGAAGCCACCAACAATCCAACGAAGGTTTCCTTGTTACTTGACTGTTCATCCCCCAGTGGCACAGCGGTATGTCTGCGAACTTACAACGCTAGAAACCATGTTTCGATGTTCGTGATGGGCATAGCACAGATAGCCCATTGTGTAGCTTTGTGCTTAACTTTAAACAAACAAATGAACATCCACTGTTCGTGTCTCCCCACAGCTCTCCTAGTGTCTTGTGGTATCGTAATTTGTAAAATTAATATTATCAAGCCTCGCTTTATAGCTCAGAGAAACCATTATTATATCCATTAAAGTTATCATTAGCCAGGGTTGGGGACGAAGAGAAATAACATTAATTTCTGAATATCCCCAGGTTTTCTGCTAAACCTAAAATAACTACCAAGTCAGATAGGATAGAATCTTTTAATTTTTCTTGTCTTACAAAATTTGTCTGTGTCGATTATTCTAGTTTTTCCCAGTTTGTTTTGTGTCCAGTTCACATGGCGTGTCTTTCAATGGCTGAATTTTGTATTTTCGTGAATCTTGTACTGTCTTTATGTTCTTTTTCTTTTGCAAGTCTTCTTCCCGTTTCTTCAATGTATGTATCGTTGCAGGAACACTGAATTTCATAAATGACGTTTTTGTGTTTCTCATTGGTAGATTGCTGTATGTTTCTTACCAGAATGGGCCTTAATGTCTTGTAGGATTTCCTCCAGGCATCTATGTTGAATTTCTTAGCTATGCGTTTGAGTTTTCATTGACATTTTGTAGGTAGTGGAGCTAAATGGTAGTAGTGGTAGTGTTTTCCTTATCTTTTCTTTATGCTGCGTTTTGGTCTTCTTCAGGGAGTTTGTAATGAAGGAGGAAGTGCAACCATTCTGTTTAAAGCACTGTATGATCTTTTGGTGTTCTGTTTCGATGTTTTATCGCAAATGTTTTCTGTTCTCTTGTTTAGGCACTGGATTATACCACGTTTTATCGAGGTTGGATGATAGGATTGAAAGTTTAGGTATCTGTTTGTGTGGGTGGGTTTTCTGTATACAGTTGTGGTAATGTTTCTCTCTCGTCTGCTGATGAGTATGTCAAGAAATGGTAGGCTGTTTTGTTCCTCCATTTCCACAGTGAAGTGGATTCTTTTGTCTGCAGAAATAAGATGTTCTAAGTAGGCTGGTAAGTTTCATGACCGTGGGGCCAAATAACGAACGTGTCGTCAACATAACGTCTGTAGAAACTTGGTTTTATAGGTATGGATGAGAGGGCTCTTTCTTCAAAGTCTTCCATGAAAAGTCGATATTCTTTAAAAAGATTTCAGGTATTTAATTAGTGTTCAACTTTGGTTTCAGTTTATTGATGGTTAAGGTTTCTTTGATCCTTTAATCTTGTTCATCGTTCAAATTACATATTATTTCAAAGCTGTCTTCCTTGCATTCCCATCACGTTCATAGTCTAGACGTTTGTATATTTTTGAAAAACTACCAGCATTAGGCTTCGCATGATATTTTATACGCAGTTCAAAGCGAAACATGACTGATCCAACATAATCTCGTTCACATCGAGAACAAACATATCGATAAACAAGGTTATTATTGATTCTGTTCTCTATCATGAAAAAAGATGTGTTGTATTCTCAACACAGATTTTAAAGTTACACACAATTTTGGTATTTTGTGTGGTTGACCAAAATTTCATAAAAATACAACAACTATCCTATTAGGCCAATAATTTCGAATATAGACACTTGCAGGTTTTTGGACTCTTTCTCTTAAGCCATTTGAAAATAATAAATATATGATTAGGAATAGTTTTGAGATTTCTAAAAAACTGGGAGATTTCCGATTATTGTGTCAATCAATATTCTTTTGCAAGAAGTAATTCAAACAGCATCAGATTTGGTTTTTCAAAATGATAAAATCGTCAAAGGTTTTAAGTAATAGATATTTAGTGAATTATCAAATTCTGCTACCAAAAATCTCCTTTAAAATGTGACATCAGTGTTTATGATAAAAAATACGGTGTTCCCATGGACATTGAGATGTTTTCAAAATTAAGAAAACAGTAAATTAACTCCAACGTTCTTACGTTGTTTATTGATATGTTTATTCTCAACGTGGACGAGATTATGTCGTTTATAGCAGCGTATAAAGAGCATCTGAAGCATAATACTTGTAATTCTTCAAAGGATCTACAACCACGTAGACCATAAACGTGACGGGCCTAGAGTTTTGAAATAATATGTAGTTACAACATTGAACAAGATGTATGGATTAAAGAAAACTTAGCCATCAAGAAACTGAAACCGAAGTATTAAATACAAGTGGTATAAAGTCGCGATGGAACGGAATGTATGAGAAATAATTTTGACATTGTCTGGTATTTAAGTAGTGTGATGCCAATCAAAACTGATAGCTTTTGAGAAGGTTATTTGACATTCCTTTTCAACGCAAATACTCATACACTCAGGTAATAAAGATGTGTTCATATGGTAGATTTAGAATTTCCAAGATACCGATATATCTCTTGTATTTAATAATATTAGAAAACAAAGGAATGTGGATCAACATAGTGCGCCAGAATCACCAAGAAAGAGACCTGAAACAGGTCGCATACAAGTCATGGTAAGCAAAATACAATTTCTTATAATGTAATCGGTGAGAATCCACGAATACAAAGGTCAAAGATAAAAGACGTCCATGTGTCTCGGGCAACAAAATCCAAAACGATCTTCCTTTTATGGATGCGAAGCCATGATAGTATGAGTTCACCAAGATCAGGCTTACAGTCATACCTTTCTTTCAGGTGTCGCATACCTTAAGAATCTGAGTAATTAAATGGGTATTCATGCTTTCCATATGACGCCTTACCAATCAAATTGCCAGACGCTGCATCTATAGATTTCTATGCGATTCAACGGTTAAAACGAGCGATGGGAAACCATCGTACTCTTACATTCGACTGATTATGAAAAACTGGCAGGGAGGAGCGGTGTGGTTTAGAAATGACAGTCTTAAGACGGAACTTTTTTCAAAGGAAACTGCGATGCAGAGCTGTTGTCAAGATGTACGGTCTTCAGGTAGATCCTGACTAGACATGTCGACATGGACAGTAATGATGTGGTTTTGCTCTAATTCGTTTGGATATAACGACTCAACCTCTATACGTAAGTTAAGTAAAAATGAAGTATATACTTTGAGAAATGCATATTCCCGAGATTAGTTCAAAGAGCACCGTATTTAATAAAGAATAATAAAAACATTAATGTTGACTTATCTTGAAAGTTGTTTACATATAACATAAAGATTACATAGAAAATTATTCAAATGCGTTTTCATGTTTACCCTAACATTCTATTCCAACTCTAGAAAAGCAAATATTTAGCTAAGTAGACAGAAAACTAGATTGAGAAAATGTTTGTACCGTAACTTAGAGTCCACAACTGTCGTTGGATCGGAGGGGTCTCCCATCTTACAAGTCCCCACAGGGTGATAAATGGTGACCGAGTAGGTACGAGCCACACATTCTAGATAGTCATCCCCCCACATCTGATGTTTCTCACAGCCTGGGAAAGAAGGCTCAAATAGGGTTGTGTTAAAGGCTTTGAATGGTTCAGACAAACCCACCTTAATACTGATCTTCAAGGCTATTGATGAAGTAAAGTGACAACAGCATGAGATGAATCATATAATCATGACACTTAGAAAATGAAAATATTTTGTGTTTAGAGACAGTTTAGACAGAATATGTTGTAATGGTTTTGAATGTTTCATAAACATTTGACTGATTTCTGAGAAGGACATTTCGATTTATTTGCCCAAAACTTTGTAATGTGGATGACATTTCCGTCTCTACGCTGAGACTTTCATCAGGATGTCATAAAGTCCGAAGTAGAGTAGGCTAAATATTTAACACCAAAGGTCAAAAGGTTGGCTGCGTCGCTATGTTTTTGTTAAGTATAAAAATAAGATAAAAAATACTATAATCTTGACATTGTTAATACCCGCAAAATACTTTTAAAAGTTACTTTTAAAACAAAAAATATAGTTCCACTTAAGTATATTACCATTAACAATGTGAACATCACAGTAGCACTTAATTATATCATAATTAAAAAAGTGAACATCACAGTAGCACTTAATTACTCACCATGCCACCATTAACAAAGCAAACATAATAATGTTTAATTACGTTGCATTAATAAGCATCTTAAGAACGTATAATTACGTGTGACATTAATAAACATCACATTAACGCTTAACTGCGTGAAATTAAGAAAGAAAGCTTAACTATAGCGTTTAACTACGTGACATTAAAAATATATTTACAAATAACTCTTAACTGCGTGACATTAAAACGAAAACGTCACAATAACGTTTAAATGCGTGATATTAAAAAGAAAGCTTCACAATAACGCTTACTTTCATGACATTAAAAAGAAAATCTTCAGAGTAACGCTTAATTACGTGACATTGAAAAAAAAGGCTTCACGATGACGTTTAATTACTTTACAGTAAAAAAGAAAACTTCCCAATAACCTTTAATTACGTGAAATTTAAAAAGGAAAGCTTCACAGTAACATTTAATTACGTGGTGTTAAAAAAGAAAGCTTCACAGTAACGTTTAATTACGTGACATTAAAAAAGAAAGTTTCACACTAATGTTTAATCATACGTCAATGAAAAAGAAGGCTTCACGATAACGTTTATTTACGTTACATTAAAAAGAAGGCTTCACAATAATGTTTAATTACGTGACTTTAAAACAAGAAAGCTTCAAAATAACGTTTAATTACGTTACATTAAAAAGATAGCTCACAATAATTATGTGACATTAAAAAGAAAGCTTCAGAGTAATGTTTAATTATGCGACAGTAAAAAAGAAGGCTTCACGATAACGTTTAATTACGTTACATTAAAAAAGAAGGCTTCACAATAACGTTTAATTACGTGAAATGAAAAAAGATAGCTCACAATAACGTTTAATTACGTGATATTCAAACAAGAAAGCTTCACAATAACATTTAATTACGTGACGTTGAAAAAGAAGGCTTCACGATAACTTTTAATTACGTGACATTAAAACAAGAAAGCTTCAGAATAACGTTTAATTACGTGGCATTAAAACAAGAAAGCTTCAGAATAACGTTTAATTACGTGACGTTGAAAAGGTAAACATCACTGTAACAAAGTACAGTTAAACCAGTTTTAGTTTACGTGTGTACAATAGGTGATATAGAACGAGTTTAATCATGATACTAAAGTGAGCTGTTTTGATGTTATAAGACGAGCTAATAACGAGCTAATTTTGAAAGATTCTCACATTTTCTCCATTTTAACACTGATTATAAGACTGACAATCCTGCCGTTGCCATAGCAAACACTTAAACCCAACATGTTTTTGCTGTTTACTAATTAGCCGTTAGCAGAAGACTAAGTTTTTCAGTTATTGACAATCTCGTTGAAAGGGTTATCTTAAAAGTGCATATTATAAGATTGATTATAAATATACATCTAACTATAAAGTAAACACTGTTGACACAGTAGTGAATAGAAAGCCAGTTTTTATATTCTCACAGCCAAGCAAATGGAAACAAGAAGGTGACTTATATTCTAATGATGTTAAACGTTTGATTTCCTCTAAGCTTTTGCTGTTAACAAAATAAACATAATACGATGCATTGATAGTCTTCTAGTATTGGCAAGCATAATTTTATGAGCTCTTGTTGTTAATGTTTGTTGTTCAGAAAATATAATAAGATTAATTATCCCTGTTCATAATGTCTGTCAAGTTGGGCATACTCAGTTCTAAGAAGAACGAAATAATTATTCCTTCAGATAAAATAATTCAGATCAGTCAAACGTCCGGTCCATCAATTGGTAGGTGTAACTAGACCATTGTGTTTTTTCTAGTTCTGCAAGTTCCGCAGTAGCGTAAACAACATTCACCGATCTGTAGGCCTAACTTAACAACTATTTTCGAATTCTTTCGTACGTACGGCCCTTTTTCGTGTCTCTAGTACTTCGTCGCAAACACGAATTCAAAACTTATATGACTGAATTAAACAACTGTCTTATTTACTAGTTAATAGACTCATTCTCTCAATAATTTACCGACTTCTGACTACCTAGATGACTCCCTAAAGCCTAAATCACTCCTTTCTCTGTGTTAAAATTGTTTCCTAAACGTTTAAGAAAGTTTTAATCATTAAGACCACACCCATCACTTTGTGTCAAACTTCCTCCCGACTAAGCAACAATACGGATTTCTAGAAATGTTTAAATTAAAAACATATGCTACAACAATACTTTCTATACACATTCTTGATAGCTAATGTGCATAAATATATAAAACATCTATAGATACCTACCTTCTCTAAGTGTTTGTATATCGTCTGGGTGGGTCAAATAATGAGGATCAATAATTGGTGGATTGTATGGATCTGTGGATCGTAACTTGACGTAACCACGACTTTTCGGTCTCAGTAACACCGGATACATGGAGAAGGAGTCTCTATACAAGTAGGGTTCATACACCTGTTTCCATAACTAAACATAAATAAACGAATATTAATAAAATACAGATACAAAAATGTTCAACTTATTGATTGATTTCATAACTAAAGACGAAAAGAAGCGTACAGTGTTAAAACCTTGAAGAACGAAAGTTTAGTTTTAGAATGATTGCTTGTTTTTGTTTTATGCCAAAAGGGCTATGTACGCTCTGCTCATCACAGGTATCGAAACCCATTTTTAGCAATATAAGCTTTCAGACTTACCGCTGAGCTACCTGGTGGCTGGGTGGGGTCAGTTTTTGAACGAAAAGCTTTCTATAATTGGATGCATTAACTAAAAATATTAGATGAAAGAAAGTAACCAGTAGATTCGCGTCTTCGTTTCTACAGAAGTTTTATTCTCTACAATAAATGGTTTTTGTAAGTGTGAGAAAACAGATCTCGAACAAGAAACATGTTTTTGAATTGAAAAATTTGAGGGAAGGCACCTAGCTAGTCTACACCATCCACCGCCAACTCTTGGGCTGCTATTTACCAACGAATAGTGAGATTGATCGTCATATTATACGTCCCCATGGCTGAAAGGGCGAGTATGCTAGGTGAGGGAATTCGAACACACTGATTGCGAGTCGAGTACCCTAACCACCAGGCCATGTGTTTGACGAAAGGTATTTCCACATGCTTTATCTTACATAAATATGGTGGGGGGGGGTAGTAGTATTATAGTAAACACAAACTCACACTACATAGAAAATGAGGTTATATACAATGGCTCAAGTAAAATAAGATGGCTTCTTGAAATAGTTCTGCTGCCACTTAAGCAATTCACAATTCTGGAAACGCTATTTACCGGAATAAACGGATTTAAAATTACAAATTTGACTGTAAAAGTTTAGATAACGTTCAACTGCGTAAATTTCGAGTGAAATTTCATTGGCTGTTTGTTTCTAAACCTTCAAATGAAGCCTAAATTAAACAATCAAAAAACAACAACTGAACTTGCACTCAAAATTTAGGCAATTGAACGTCATTTAACGATTCACTCATTATACGTGAGCTCCTCACGATCATAGTGACCGCATGGAGGAGCGTTCGATCACGTTAAGTAAGATTATTATCACTTTAATGCCAAAAGTCGGATGTTTTATTAATATGTTAGTACTAATTAGTACAAGTAGTAATATAAATACATGCAGCACTGAATGTTAGGCTAATTACTAGTACTAATTTACTTAGGTTCAATTGTTTTATTTATATATATTACAAAAGTTATAATATTGACATTTTCTTCCAGGTTTTAAATAAATTAAAAGCAACAATCAAATTTATATATGAGTATAGTGAAAACATCATACAGTTCTCAGATGCTCTTGTAGTGGTGAAAGAAATTATGGTCCTACAACAGGTGTTTATTATAAAACAAACAATTCACATAAATGTCTAGATATTTTAGCAGTCATCCCAAATCAATAAACCTAAAAATCCCTGTTACCCTGGCACATTAATGTCTAATCCGGAGACGATAAAAATCCCTGTTACCCTGGCACATTAATGTCTAATCCGGAGACGATATTCTCAGATTGGCCAAGCATGGCCTGGCAGTTAGGCCACTCGACTCGCAATCTGAAAAGTTGTGGGTTCTAATTCCATTACCCAGCGTGCTCACCCTTTCAGCCGGGAGGTCGTATAACATGACGATCAATCCCACTATTCGTTGGTAAAGAGTAACTGAAAAGTTGGTTGTTGGTGATCTTGACTAGCTGCGTTCCCTCTAGTTTATCACTGCTAAATTAGGGACGGTTAGCTTAAATATTCCTCGAGTAACTTTGCGCGAAATTCAAAAACGAACAGACGTTTCACTTCACTATACTTGGTCGTATCATATGTCATTCAAAAGCTATTTTGTGATTGTGATTTGGTTGAACAATGACCGCAATTACGATTTGTGTTTTTGAACTTTGTACGGAGCCGTATCAGAAATTGATTTTATAACATAGTTCTGCTCGGTTAAAGCTGAGTCATTTCTAAAAACCAATAGAATGTTCTGGATAATTTGTGATTATTATTATTAAGGTAACTGTAAATCGTGAAATATTTATATTATCTAAACTCTGGGTTCTGTTTTGAAGTCAACTGAAGCAATATCATACCTGTTAGTCAGTTGACGTAGTTAATTTTCTTTAATGTCTATAATGCTACTTATTATGATTGGCTCGAAAGCCGTCTTTACTAATACCCATGTTTTGTGTTGCTGTTGGTTTGAAAGCGATATTGTCTTAAATTTGTGTCTTTCTTAAGATGACTTGAAAAAAGTGTTATTGTTTAATTATTGTGTATTGTTTGTTTGTTTTGAATTTCGCGCAAAGCTACACGAGGGCTATCTGCGCTAGCCGTCCCTAATTTAGCAGTGTAAGACTAGAGGGAAGGCAGCTAGTCATCACCACAAACCGCCAACACTTGGGCTACTCTTTTACCAACAAATAGTGGGATTGACCGTCACATTATAACGCCCCCACGGCTGAAAGGGCAAGCATGTTTGGTGTGACGGGGATTCGAGCCCGCAAACCGCAGATTACGAGTCGCGCGCCCTAATAACCTGGCCATGCCGGGCCTTTGTCTATTGTATTAGTTGTTTTAAAGTAGTTTTCTATATTGTCTATGTTTTGATGTAGAGTTGTTTTAAAAGTGGTTTTGTCTATTGCTGTGTTTTGTCTTACAGTCAGTTTAAAATGATTTTATTTATTGTTTGTGTCTGGTTTTGTCTGTTGCTGTGTCTTGCCCTACAATAAGTTTAAAAATAACTTTATCTATTGTTTGTGTCTGGGGGTTTATCTATTGCTGTGTCTTGTCTTACAGCTGGTTTGAAAGCTGTGTACAAATAATTGAAGTAATGTTTAATAACACAGTGCGATTGGTACCAAAGCTGGCCCACTCTGTTGAAAACCGACTTGCAAAACCCAACAAGTATCAAGGTCTGCTATTCCTGTTTCTTTAGCAATACAATACTCTCATCACTATATATACGTATATAAAAATAGAGTATTGAAAACAATTATGGGAAATGGTATAAAACACAAATACTACTGAAAATATACTTCATTAGATTAGGGTCACGTGTTGCTAGCTTACACTATGATTGGTTGTGATCGGGTGGAGAATGAAAACAAGCCACATCAGTATAAAGCGTACAAAAGTAAAAGCAGTCATAGTAATCCCATCAGTAGTAGTGTGTATCTAGTAGTGGGTCGTAGTAATCCCATTAGTAATAATATGAATCTGGTCGTGAGTCATAGTAATCCCATTAGTAGTAGTGTGAATCTAGCCTTGAGTGATAATAACCCAATTTGCAGTAATGTAAATCTATTCGTGGGTCATAGTGATCCCATAAGTAGTAGTGTGAATCTAGTCTTGGGTTATAATAATCCCATTACTAGTAGTAGTGTGAATCTAGTCGTGGGTTATAATAATCCTATTAGTATTAGTGTAAATCTAGTCGTGGGTCATAGTAATCCCATTAGTAGTAGTGTGAATCTAGTCGTGGGTCATAGTGATCCTATTGGAAGTAATGTGAATCTAATCGTGGCTTCTAGGACTGAAATACTTCATGACAAGGATGTAGGGCTCAACATTTTGTCTGATCAAGGGAATTTCATGCAAAAAAATCGCAGCAAGACTCCATGGTTTAATAGGAAACATAAAGAACACCCTGAAGAGGGTACATGAAACTGTCACTGTTAATAATAAAATCATTCAAGGTATAAATCCTAAACTCTCTCCAATAGTGATATTTAATATCTTAAGCTGTGTTTTTATGAATTAGATGATGTTGCCAATGGCCTTGCTGAAAACTCTAGTAACGGATGTCACTTCGAGAACAGTAAAACGCACAATAGCACGGTCTCAGTGGATGTATATACTCGAAACTTGCTGCTGAGAAGAGGGAACAAAAAAAGAGGTTAAAATTAGCAGCATGCCACAAATAGTTGAATGAGCAGTAGGCGTGTTCTCTTTACAGACGAATCTAAGTTCAACATGTTCAGCAATAATCGACTGCATTTTGATGACGGAAAGGAGAACAGTATCATAACCAATGTACATCATCTACAGAGAAATCTACATGGTGAGAAATCGATAGAAGCTTGGAGATGCCTTTCAGCAATGGTGTATGCAAAACGTAAGACATTCTGACGGCTGACAATTTCCAATCCATCATGTTATTCCCTCAGAATCAGGGATCATTGAGAGTTCATCATCTTCCAGCAAATGTGGAGAAACGACACCCTGACGGCAAAAAAAGTATATGGAAAACGCATAACCATGGGTTTTCCATACACAAAGTCTCGAAGTGAATACAATTGAGGCGGAATGGGCTTATGCAAAGACAGTTTGTTTGTTTTGGTTTTTGTTATGAATTTCGCGCAAAGCAACACGAGGGCTATCTGCTCTAGCCGTCTCTAATTTAGAAGTGAAAGATTAAAAGAAGGCAGCTAGTCATCACCTTCCACCATAGCCAACTCTTGGGCTATTCATTTACCAACGAATACTGGGATTGGCTGTCACTTTATAATGTCCCCACGGCTGAAAGGGCGAGTATGTTTGGTGAGACGAGGATTCGAATCCGCGACCCGCAGATTGCGAGTGGAGTGAGCGCTCTACCCACCTGGCCGTGTGCAAAAACAGAGAAGTTCAAAAGACGACGAACATCTTGGCTGAATTGTGAGGAGTAATGCAAGATATTTGGAACAATATTCTGCTATAGAAAATTGATAAACTTTGTTGCAGAATGAAAACAACTGGTAATGATTTGCGTAAAGCAAACGGTTCACATGAGAAATTCTAGTGCTATATATATTCATAATTCAAAACAAGCTTAAATACAAATATAACGCTACATAACCAAGACAAATGAAGTATCCAGGGCACATGCTATAACTTGGGAGATATAAAATATGTCCTGGCTGTTGGGCACATTGTATATTTCCCACATTATACCTTGCGCCCTGATGACTTCATTTATATTAAATATGCAACGTTGCATTTTTATTTAGGCTTGTTTTGAATAAAAAAACCATGTTATATTTCATCATAGGTTTGATTTTGCTGTTTTTAACGTTGTCCTTCCTTTTATGTAAGTGTTAACTTAACTGTTGAAAGAATGCTGCGTATTTCCTGTGATGATGTTTTGCACCATTAATAACTTCCCCATCCAAGTGGCATCGCCCCATGTTTCTGACGTCAGAATGTGTAGCACTTTAGAGTTTTTATATTTCAGTAATTACTTACATGACTATATATGCACACACACACACATGCATGTCGATATATACATACACAAGTTATTTTTTTATTTGTAACCTAAAAGCATATAATATCTTGTATTTATTCAATACTAATTAATTATAAAAACGCAATATTTTATTCTAGTCATGACATTATATAATATCTATATATCAGTTGTTTTATTTCATTTCAAATTAGGCATTCTTCCACATTACATTAATGATATTCAGGGCTAACTGTAAAACTGTCGTATTTCACAGTTCCCTTAAGGTGGTTTTGACAGTTCCGGCTACTTTCGACTGAATATGTAAGGATGTTTGTTAATTATTATTATTATTCACCACGTAAACAAACACATATAAACATTTTTTCTTACCTCCGGACCAATACCTTGCACTTTTCGAATAGTTCTTCCACCATCAGAGGATGGAGAGCTGGAGATAAAGTGAATTTCAGCATCAGGAAAGTCTTCACTACTGTTGGTGTACTTTGTCTTTATAAATCCTAAACCTTCACAGCCCCCTAAGATGGTGTAAGGTCCTAAAATATACAACATACGTCGATGTTCTTCAAATATTGATTTTTTGCACTATTTTCTGAGTGTGTTTGAAGGTTGAAAGTCTGACTGTTATCCTTCACAAAACAATTTAAGGCTGAATAAAAAGCAAAGTATCAACATGTCATTCACTTTCTTCAAAAATGTCACTCTGATAGAGTTACAAAATCATTAACCATCTTTATAAATGTCACTCTGATAGAGTTACTACATCATTCACCATCTTTATAAATGTCACTCTGATAGAGTTACTACATCATTCACCATCTTTATAAATGTCACTCTGATAGAGTTACTACATCATTCACCGTCTTTATAAATGTCACTCTGATAGAGTTACTACATCATTCACCATCTTTATAAATGTCACTCTAATAGAGTTACTACATCATTAACCATCTTTATAAATGTCACTCTGATAGCGTTACTACATCATTCACCATCTTTAAAAATGTCACTCTGGCAAAGTTATTCTGTGAGAGGGCTATTAAAAATAACGTAGTTAAACTTTGCACGTCGAAACAAGCATTTCGTTTTTCTCGTGTATTTTAATCATGTACAACAATGTCATTAACCAATGATGTTCCTGTAGTATATTGTTAGCCAATGATATCCCTGTACTATATTATTAACCAGTGATTTTCCTATAGTATATTGTTAACCAATGATGTTCCTGTAGTATACTGTTAGCCAGTGATGTCTCTGTAGTATACTGTTAGCCTATGATGCTCCTGTAGTACACTGTTTGCCAATCATTACAGAATGGTGCAAATTATGTATATTAACTATAAATATATTTAATGTTGTCTTTTATTGCGGAGAAAGGCAGTTTTTTGCGATTTTTAATAACGTAAACTACATTTGGATCAACAATTCCCACTTTGTCTTACATTTCCATTATTTAAGTTCTCTAATACTTCTCTTACAAAGTATACAATGTATCGAAAAACTTCATGCCTATAGACTGAAACATTTACGTACCTGCTGCTGTAACAAATGAACGATATCCAAGTTATATATATACAACTTCCCAGAAAATAGCACTCTACAAATCAAATCCCTTTCCACAATGTACTTACTGGATGCTAAGCTTTGTGTACGATTAAGGAAACTACTTGTTTCCTTTCTTTCAGAACTGTATGTCACTTATGTATGTTTAAGCAATGTTATTGTTACGTGCAGAATTTACTAAGCCTCGAAATACCAGTTTATCTTCTACTAATGGCTTATCCTCTACTAACAGTTTATCTTCTACTAACAGTTTATCCTCTACTAACAGTTTATCTTCTACTAACAGTTTATCCTCTACTAACAGTTTATCTTCTACTAACAGTTTATCCTCTACTAACAGTTTATCTTCTATTAATTCTTTATCTTCTACTAATAGTTTATCTTCTACTAACAGTTTATCTCTACTAACAATTTATCCTCTACTAACAGTTTATCTTCTACTAACAGTTTATCCTCTACTAAAAGTTTATCTTCTATTAATTCTTTATCTTCTACTAATAGTTTATCTTCTACTAACAGTTTATCCTCTACTAACAGTTTATCTTCTATTAATTCTTTATCTTCTACTAATAGTTTATCTTCTACTAACAGTTTATCTCTACTAACAGTTTATCCTCTACTAACAGTTTATCTTCTATTAATTCTTTATCTTCTACTAACAGTTTATCTTCTACTAACAGTTTATCCTCTACTAACAGTTTATCTTCTACTAACAGTTTATCCTCTACTAACAGTTTATCTTCTACTAACAGTTTATAATAGAAGATAAACTGTTAGTAGAGGATAAATTGTTAGTAGAGATAAACTGTTAGTAGAGGATAAACTGTTAGTAGAGGATAAACTGTTAGTAGAAGATAAACTGTTAGTAGAGGAACAGTTTATCCTCTACTAACAGTTTATCTTCTATTAACAGTTTATCCTATACTAACAGTTTATCTTCTATTAATTCTTTATCTTCTACTAATAGTTTATCCTCTACTAACGGTTTATCTTCTACAAACAGTATATCTCTGGAACCTCCAAATAAATTTTTGTTTACTTGCACACACAAACAGACACTTGAAACAAAAGAACAACAAAAAAACAAGGTTTTCTTTCAGGAGTTACGTTAAGATAAATTAATAAGGACATGTTTGATCAACGAGGGTCACTACAATCAAATACTTCCTCGAGTTAATGCAGAATGTCCTAACTCTCAAAATAAGGTATGCGTAGGTGATGGAAACTTAAAAAATAAAATAATTGGAATAACATCATCAGAGTACAGATATTTTATTGGACAACGTTTCGAGTAAATGCTTTTTGTCAAGCTTCGGGATTCTTTTTTTTTTTCTCGTTACTTTGGGGATATCACCTTTAAAACCTATTGTAGTAACTTGTTTACTTGGCGGACCAACAAACATGTATATAAAGACACACATTGTCACATCCATTTTTAAACCAACAGATATATATTCTGAGAAGTTAGCAAATTGTACGAAGACTCACATGTATACTTACCTTCACCTTTAAGCAAAAAATCGTGAATCAGACCTGAATTTTTATAACGAGGAAGTATAACCGAGTAAGGCTTGTCGATTAAGAAATGGGCCCCTGCTGATCCCACGTGGTCCTGGAGGTTTAATCCAACCGGCAAATCAGCAATCACGGGTAACTATATACAGAACAAAGGATTAGCGAAGATTATGCATGATAACTATATACAGAACAAAGATTTAAGTAAGATTATGCATGGTAACAATATACAGAACAAATATTTAGATAAGATTATGCATGGGAACTATATACAGAACAAAGATTTAGGTAAGATTATGCATGGTAACTATATACAGAATAAAGGTTTAGGTAAGATTATGCATGGTAACTATATACAGAACAAAGAATTGGCTAAGATTATGCATGAAAAAACATAAAATGTCAATTACGATTATAGAAGAAAGTTCCAAGAAATATTAATTGAGATTATAGAAAGGCTTAACTTATGAGCAACAACATATATGTAAAAATATTAACTAAGTACACGGACAAAAATAAAGACAAATATATATTACTGAAATACACTGACTGTCCATTTACTGAGGATGTCCTCTTTATGTAATATCGGATTGGACCACCTTTAGCTGAGATTATTGGCTGGACTAGACACAAAATTTACAATATTTTGGAAGATTTCTTGTTCGATTGTAACCCTTTCATCGAGTGTAGTCTGCAACCGGTTCACAGATATCGAAAAATGTCTTTGGTTTTTATTTCAATGTTCAGGTTCGTTCAAAGGATATTGTGTTGATTACTGAAAATGTGTTAAGTCACTGTCACATTAGTTGCATCAGTTTCGGAAAAATAGGGAATAATAGAATTGTTGCATAGGATTGTTTCAGTATTGTCTTGGAAGAACCCTTGTCCAGGAGGGTTGAAATACAACATTGCATAGTGAGCATGATGGACCTAAATACACCCTCAAGAAAGTTTCCAATATCAGCTCAATTAGCTTGAACAGTCAGAACATCTAAAGTGCTTCATTTGTTTCCTCCGTATTTTTATTATATGAACATTAAATAACAAAAAAGTGAAACATGTCTCATCACATTGCCCGCAGTTGTACTCTAAGCAACACTAAAGTTGTGTTTTTTCCCATTTGCTACTGAGATAAGTGGATTTTAGACTCTTTGGAGTTTTTCATAATAATATTTCGCATGTTAAGGCTGCAGATCTTGACCACTGTTGAAGGAATCGGTTATTTGGGACACAGTCTGACACCTCTTATACATTACAAGTTTGCCTTGTATTGTTTACATGGCAGACGTATTTACCACTGTTGACATACTCTTAGACATATATCTTTAAACAGCCGGTCAAAGAAATGGTATTTCATAACGACATTCCTCTTACACGGATAAAATAAAATAATGCCTTTTTAAAGGCTTGAGTGATCCTTGCTCTTATCTATTGTTTTTCACACTACCTATAATACAACTATGTGTCTTTATAATCAGTTAACATATCAGACAAACAATCTATTTTGAGTGAGTAAATGTGTTTTACAGGTGTGCATGTGAGGGTCTTAATAAAATAATCAGTCAGTGTATTAACTGGAGAACGTTCAAGACGCAATCAATTAAGATAATAATAAGGATACCTGAAGAAGACAGATCAATGTTCTGTCTAAACATGTAGTATGTCCCACCATAAATAAATCACTTCATTACGCTTATAAATTGTTGTTTCCCAACTTATTATTACATTACCATAACTTTTCTTCCTTACTCAACTATCAACTTAATTAAATTACCAGGAAATTTCAACCAGACAGAATTACAAAGAGCGAAAACTTTTACAAGATTAACTGAGAGTAAAGTGGCAAACAACTTAGGAAGAAAAGTTTTGTGTTTTGTGCAGAGATAAGAACAAGCTATGGAGAATAATTTAAGCCATGTAGAGATATTAATTCTTATTAAGAATATGAAATAAGAATTACTTAATAATTTTAAAAAATCAAATAAAAGCTACTTTCAATGAAGATAATTCCAATGAATTTGTTGGCTTTGAGTCATTTAGTTTAATAAAATAAGCAAGAATACATGAAGATAAATTTGACTGTGTCACTAACAATTTGAGTTGTTTTTATTCTGTGGCTTAAATATGAACTATGATCGCACACATTTAACTGCTTCATGATATTCCTAAATATATTGAAAAATCAGAGATTATGAACAATGGTGAATATAAACCAAAACTGAGAAGCGAAGAACAATTGGTTTTATGACCCAATTGGTTAAAATTGTTAGAATAATAGATTCTAAGAAAAAAAAGCAATAACGATGGACATTGTCTTCTAAATGAAACAATATTTTTTGAACACGAGATAATAAAGAACAATTGAATATAAAATAGTTTTTATCTGTCTTGGTATACAAGATAAAACTCAAGGCTTAAGAATGGCAATTGGAATTTTTTATCTCGGTTTAAATTGTTATACTTAAATTATGAACTTGAGGAGTAGGTGATTTTAAATAATGTCTAAAATAACATTTCACCTCCAGCCCCAGTTCAGCGTTTTCTTTCTTAGAAAGGTGTTATTGGTTCTTCATACTGTTGTTCATCTGTTGTTTTTTTTTTCGATAAGGAGAATGGTTTATTTAGTGTGTTTACCGTTAAATTGTTTTGTTTACTGGAGATAGTAATCAATGCATTCTACAATTGATTGACTATTTTCATCTTCATTTTAAAAACAAGACATTTTCGTTCTTACACCAAAGCTCTCGAGATGTTTGCGAGGTCCAATGCCAGACAGCATGAGGAGCTGAGGAGTGTTAATAGACCCAGCTGCTAGAATGATTTCTTTCCTAGCAAACACTACTCTTGATAACCCTTCGTAATCAAACTGTACAGCTCGTGCTCGTCTATGGTTGTCAATGTGAATCTAAAAAGGGATGAAGAATAATTATGTAATAAATAGACTACAATATCATGCATAAATTATTGTCACTGAACGCTGAAACAATATGGCAGCAGTATAAAAAGACAATTGTACAATCAGATACATTACATATAGCAAAAGAACTTGTGTAAAATGTATGCTGGAGATATCCAGGCTAATTTTCAAATTTACTAGTGTTTTTACAAAGAGACTGGAGGATTCAATACGATTACAGCTTTAATTTGACCAAAACTCAATAATATATTCTAGTAACACAGTTCTCTCGTTGGCGACTTCTTTTAGATTACTTGGTAAAAATAATTCAACCTTCAGTGCACTTAATGATAATATATCACTTTATTTCCTTCCTTAAAGTTTCTGCAAACTTAAACACTTGTACACTGCCGTAAATTGCTATAGGCCTACGTTACAAATAACTTTAATTAACGTAAAACAAACTAACTTACTTGTAAAAATTAACTGCGATAGCTTATATAATTATTGATTCACACACTTCACAACTATCTCGTAATTATAATCTACATTTGAATGTTCTAAAACAAAACTTGATTTCAAGTCTTAGAGCTTTCTAGGCGTTCTACACTCTCCAGCTATTAAATATATTGCAACATTAAAAATATAGTTTATAACAATATATTCAATATTATCAACTATTTAAGCTCACGAAAACATCCTTTAGACTTCCTCTGTTTATTTTCAGAAATGTTAATCATATTTTATCTTCTAAAACTTTTAAAGTCCCCCCCCCTCCACTTCACGTTACTTGTTTGTAATTTTATCTTACCTTTGTCACTTGGGCGTTAATTAAAATCTTTAAATTAGGCCTGTTCAGAATATCCTGTAAAAATGCCTTAGAAGTGCTGCATCTTGCACCGTTCCTAACAGTTCCTTGGGGAACTGTAAAACCTGATGTAAAATAGAAATTAATTATATATTTCATTATCATTTTTGCTTTAATATTTACCAAAATTATTTTAATATCTAAGTAATTACGAAGCGTCACTACTCATTTATGAAACTGAAGTTTGTTTTGATAACAATAAACTTCAAGTATGTCAAACATACTCATTTTAAATAACTTATTTATATAACCGACCTGTTTGTGCGGGTCCATTGATATCAATATTTGGGTAACCCAGGGTTTTACCACCTTCAACGAAACTGTGACCTAACGGTGATATATAATTTGGTGTTTCGACTGTTAGAAGACCTCCTCGTCCATGGTAACCTGTAGAAAAATTGGAAAAACACTTGAACAGTTTAGTCATTTTCATGCTTGACCTATTACGAATTATGTAAAAAAACAAACCGAAACTGTATTTTTTTCTTATTCAGTTTGACCTGCCATTGTCTGTTGGTTAGGGCATTCGTCTCGCAAAGTGCGGATCGTGGGTTCGAATCCCATCATCGAACATGATCGCCTCTTTTAGCCATGGGGGCGTTATAATGTGACGGTTAATCTCGCATTTCGTAGATAAAGTGTAGCCCAAAAGTTGGCGGCGGTTGGTATTAAATAGCTACCTTCCCTCTAGTCTATCAATCCTAAATTAGCGCTGATAATCCCCGAGTAACTAACTATGCATGAAATTCAACACACGAACTTATTTAGCTTAAATAAAAATTAGAATACACATCCAAGATAAATTGTGAATGTTAACATAATAATTTCTATGAACTTATTAAGGCTGTTTTTTTCTAACATATTATCTTAGTTTGTATGTTTGTTTGTAATTAAGCACAAAGCTACACAATGGGCTATCTGTGCTCTGCCCACAACGAGTATCTAAACCCGAATTCTAGCGTTGTAAGTCCACATACATATCGCTGTGCCACTGGGGGGGGGGGCTATTATCTTAGCAGTATAATGTTAATACAGACTAAACAATATATTCATATGTTCATTCGTAGTTTCAATCTCAAAGATGAAAGCATTCGTCTTCTACTCTTTTATGTTGCTTGAGATACTTTCTGATAGCATGTACAGTAACATAGAGGGCGACACCATAGTTATCAGTATTTAAATGATAATCAGCTAAATATAAAATTTAGAGTTGAAAATCAAATTGAAGTCAGACATTTTTTTAATGTTGTGGTTCGAAATAATCATGAATAACTTAAAACCACCTTCAGTAACCTGAATTTATATCTTGAAATTTTGTTTTGGTTCTATTTTAGCACAAAGCTACACAATAGGCTACCTGTGTTCTGCCCAAAACAGGTATCGAAACCCTAATTTTAGCGTCGTAAGCTTACAAACTTAGCGCTGAGCTGCTGAGGTGCATATTTCAAATCTTTAAATTATTCCTGTTTTACCCTTTTAAAGAATATTCTGTGTCTGGAAGTAAGGAAAACTCGTTATCTTGCCGAACAAATGTCTGGGAGTAAGTAAAACTCGATATATTGCCGAACAAATGTCTGGGAGTAAGTAAAACTCGATATTTTTACCGACCAAATCTTTGGAAGTAGGTAAAACTCCATATATTGCCAATCAGAGAAAACAGAAGATAAGTGTTGTGCGTTCAAACTTGAACTTAATATTTATTAACATTTATCCCACTAATTTAGATCCAGTGGTCTAAGTCACCATAACAAAAACCTGTGATGCAAATAGTTATTAGTGGGACAAACTTTTGGCGCCTTTATCATGGCAAACGTTAGGTGGCCAAAACCTTGCTATGACTACTGTGTATTTTGGGGAAAGTAGATATGTAGTTGTCGTCTCTTATTTTCTTTCTCATTAGAACAGATAATTAGCTTTAGAAATGCTGCCTCCAACTGCAACGAATTTTAATGGGGACAAATATTGTTCCCAATTGTTATGAATCACGAGGAAAGTGGGGACAAATATTAAGATTCTGAATTACTACGAATCATGAGGAAGGCAATCTTAAGAACTCGAAACGTTGTCTCCAACTGTAAGTTGTCCTCACAAAGGCATTTAGTTGTGGAGACGTTGTCTCTAACTAAAATTAAAAAAAAACTTAATTTATCATGAGGACACATGGTAGAGGTAGCCGAAGAAAAAATCTAGACATCCTAAAGTATGTCTTGATGAAGATAAATTACAGTTTAGGACAACGTTTCGAATTTTTAACATTGTCTTCACTGTGGTGCTTAATAGTTAGGGCCCGGGGTAGCCAGATGGTTAGGGCGCTCGACTAGCAATCTGAGGCTCGCGGTTTCGAATCTCCTTTCAGCCGTGGGGGCGTTATAATGTAACGATCAATCCCACTATTCGTTGGTAAAAGAGTAGTCCAAAAGTTGGCGGTGGGTGATGATGACTAGCTGCTTTCCTTCTAGTCTTTCACAGCTAAATTTGGGACGGCTAGCGCAGATAGCTCTCGTGTATATTTGCGCCCACTATTCAAAATGTTGAGACGTTGCTCTTCAACTATTATAAATTAATTGTTCGTCTAAATTATTTCCAACGTCATCTTGCCATTACCCAAATAGTGGGTAGGATTCTTGTTTCTCTAATTGTAGGTCATAGTGCATAGAAAGTAACTTGTGGGGAATGTATTCAAATACCCATTATATTTACATACACGCAGAGCAAACAAGGGCATATCTGATTTCAATTGAACTTATAAGTAGGTGTTTTACTTCGTTCATAGGGATTTAAAATCAACAATTTTCATTAAAATTCTCAAAAACTATAAATTATTATTTTTTATTGGCCTACGTCGTGTTGAAAAAGTAATCCTGGACTGTGTAGTCCAAAAATGGTAGTTTCCCATTCAATTATTATTATTTCTTTTTCATACAATCTCACGGTTGAAAGTTTGGTATTCTCCTTGTTTATTACAAAGTCCGTTGTAGTTTGCCAAGATTAATCGGCCCGGCATGGCCAGGTGGTTATGGCGCTCGACTCGTAATCTGAGGGTCGCGGGTTCGAATCCCCATCCCACCAAACATGCTCGCCCTTTCAGCCGTGGGGGCGTTATAATGTGACGGTAAATCCCACTATTCGTTGGTAAAAGAGTAGCCAAAGAGTTGGCGGTGGGTGATGATGACTAGCTGCCTTCCCTATAGTCTTACACTGCTAAATTAGGCACGGCTAGCGCAGATAGCCCTTGTGTAGCTTTGCGCGAAATTAAAAAAAAAAAAAGACCAAGTTTAATTGATACAATATGACCTCCCCCCCTCTCTCTCTCACACACACACACATTGTTTATAATTTAAATGATTATTATTTGGTAAGAAAGAAATGTCGTTATTAGCCGACAAAGTTGATAGAAATAACTTTTTTATTTCCGGGGCGTTACCTCCTCACGTAACCTAAGTAGTTATATAATTTAATTATTCAAATTCTCAATTGTTCTATTTGCTTGTTCAATAAGTTTTATTTTTCTTCATCCCTCAATTTATCGTTTCTTTAATTTATTAGATTGTTTGTTTGTTTGTAATTAAGCACAATGGGCTATCTGTGCTCTGCCCACCACGGGTATCGAAGCCCGGATTCTAGCGTTGTAAGTCCGCAGACATACCGCTGTGTCACTGGGGGGCGATTTATTAGAAACGACAGAAACAGGTAAAAAATAAAATGTACAAGGATATAAACGCCACAACTAATGGAAAACAGTTTTCTTCCATTCAGCCATTTTACATTATGCTTTTTTTTTAAAACAAATATTATGATAATCTTTAAATGTAAAAAATAAATTGCGTTGATGGACAGTTACCATGATTTTATGTTAACATTGTTGCTGAACTTAGAGGTCCTTGGTAAACAAGCCTTTTTACAGCAATATTAAAAAGTTTTTAATTTGAAAATATGTATTAAAATAAATTAGCTTTTTAGTAATTGTAGCTTCGAAATATTAAAACCAGTTAGTAGCATAAAAAAGATATCATTCGAACTGATTTTTCTTTTTAATTACGTTTCCACCATTGCTCATCATTTGCGTTAGTCAGTTTAAAACGTTTTTATTAAATGTTTATCATAATTATGCAGATTTAAATTTACATGATCAGAGGTACATTTCAATATGTATACGTTTCACACACATTATTCTCGGGCAACATTTTGAACACATATACACTTACTTACCATTATAAGCGATTTCAGGATTTCTGTTGTCTTCGGACTTCAGAAAGTATGGAAACACATCCTCCCAGCTCCAACCATACGCCCCCTGTTGGGCCCAGTTGTCATAATCACGCGAGTTACCTCGCACATATAACATGTAGTTAATCAAACTGGAGCCACCTAAGCCTTTCCCACGTGGCCATTTGCTTCTCTAAGAAATAAAATATATTTAAATATAAAATCTCATCTTCACAAATCTGCACCATTTAAAACATGCAAATTTTTATCTTTAATACTGAGATGCCCTTTTACCATGAACGAGGAAAAAAAATCTAAACCTTCGTGGTGATGTGCGAAATATTTATGTTGTGAAGATACTGTTAATTTATTACTTAATGGTTAGCGTGCTGGGCTGCGTACTACAAGGTTTACCGTTTGGGCTGTTAAAAACACTCCACAATTTCAAATGTGAGTGCATTACAAAGAAACGGTCAGTTTCATTATTCGGTTAAAAGTATCGACAAGGTTGTTCTTCATCTATCCAGTAGCTCAAACAACGGTATGTCTGCAGACTTACAACGCCATAAACCGGGTTTCGATACCCGAGATGGACAGAGCACAGATTTACTTCAAATAAACAAACAAACAGTAGCTCAAAATTAGGAATGGTTATTCCTGAACCTAAAGAGTCTCTGACTTCTGATCTGGACATTTAATACTTATGTACATAATATGTCGTTTATGATAAAAAATATCAGTCGATTAATACTATCAGATTATTTGTTTAACCTGAACACACTGTATGTATACAATGGGTCTGCGAACTGTGAAGCAAGGAAAAGCAGCCAATCGGGAGCACCTGCCGCTTGAAGTTTATACTATTAACCGAATAACAGGATTTATTATTTTATATTTTTATAGCATCACAATCACAGCTGAAAGTTCAATGCATTACTTCTAGCAACACTTTTAGAACCCGAGACATTCGAATCCCCAGTCTGATGTGCTAGCTAACCACAAGGTCACGATGAGGTCCATTTTATCAGTCTGACTGTCACTTCATTATACGGTTAAGTTTCTTCTCCTATTTAAATTTTTTTTCTTTTCCTGAAATACAAACAAACAGACACACGAACTATGTTTTTTAAAAACTCTAGAGCAGTTTCTACGCCAGGTATCAAATGTAAATGTGCATAAGTATCAAATTCTATATGAAACTCATAAACAAGTAAAAACCGATACTAAAGTAAATATGGTCAGTTTTATACTACGCTCCGTTATTATTGTTAATCCACGAAATCATATACGATGTAACAGTTCTGTATTATGCGAGTTTGTATTAAGCTATTAATTCATAATTAAGCTTACATATGGGACAGCAATGCGTTATTGTAGGGTTGTATGATAATGTATCAATTAACTTGCTAAATCAAAAGAATGTTTACTGACGAGACTGCGATACATTATAAGTGAGTATGTAGAATAAGAGAAACTGATACTTAATGAAATAACTATTCCGGTATTGTGTTGTGTGTTTGGATAATTGATATAAAAAGGGAATGGTCGTGAACAAATGTTATCTCCTTTTTAAAACGTATAACATAGTAGATGTACCTAAGTTAACTTGCTTTTTTTTAGGAATATATGAATTCGTCCACTTACTCTGTCCACCTGGCCAAGGCAGGCTGTTGTCTGTGGCTCTGTTGAGTAGCCCCAGTCATACTTTGACTCTTGTAACTCTCCGGCGAAAAGTGGAACCTCAGTCATCACATCTGGTAATCCACCGGCTTCCAGCAGTAAAACTTTTATTAAATGATCATCTGAAAGCCTGTTGGCCAGCACCGCTCCCGCCGAGCCTGCTCCGACTAAAATCAAATAGCTATCTGTTAACAGCTTTTGCTATACAAATGTGAATAGCAATATGTCCAAACACGCATATATTACACCAAGTGTTATTTAAGACTCATTTTAAGAAAATAAATGGAATTTCTATACGTTCAACTATGTTTGTTAAAACGAGCTATCAGATCCGGTATCGCAACCTCTATTAATTGATTTTGACATAAACTTTAAGCTTAATCACAGTTATATGTATTTATTTTAGTTTTTATACTTTCACTGCTAAATTTTTTTCGTTGCACGTGACCTTGAACTTTGGACCCTACTTCTATATTGTTGTCAACATGTTTTTTATCTTTTCTGGTGTGCCACCCCCCCAGTGGCACAGCGGTATGTCTGCAGACTTACAACGCCAGAAACGGAGTTTCGATACCCGAGGTGGGCAGATCACAGATAGCCCATTGTGTAGCTTTGTGTCTAATTCCAAACAAACAAACTTTTCTGGTGACACTCCTGCGGTAACCTAGCGACAGCTCCAGTACTACATCCCAAAATAATTCCAATTAATAAACAAGTTAAACATGTATACACCCAATCTGGTATACATCACGTCTGGCTACTGGCAAGTAAGTTATTCAACCAGATTCATCTTAAGATTGAAAAGTTTTGGACCAGAACAAATGTATCAGTTTTTTTTTCCTTTTAATAAGTGGGTTGGCATGATCAGGTGGTTAGGGACGTACTCTGCGGGTTGTGGTTTCGAATTCCGTCACCGAACGTGCTCACCCTTTTAGCCATGGGGGAGTTATAATGTACGATCAATCCCACTTTTCGCTCATAAAGAGTAGCCTAAGAGTTGGCGGTAGGTGGCGTTGACTAGCTGCCTTCCCTCTAGTCTTTGTCCTACGATGGGACAGCGGTAAGTTCACAGACTCACAACGCTAAAATCCGGGGTTCGATTCTCCGTAGTGGACACAGCATATAGCCAAATGAGGCTTTGCTCTGAAATAACAAACCTCTAGACTATCAAAATTCGGGACAACTAGAGCGGATAGCCCTCGAATAGCTTCACCAGAAATTCAACAAAACAAATCTTTTGATAGTATCTATCTTTTCCATTAAATAGCAAGTGAAAAATGTACACCTGAAGTCAGTGAAGTTGGTTTATAAGTAAATAGAAACGACGGTGAAGTTTTTGAAATGTTATTTAAAGTAACAAAAAACGTATATGCTTGAAATGAAGAATCTTAATTAAACTACTGCGACCTGCGTGAACAAGTAAAGGATTTTACAGTTTGTACCCTAACTTTTGTCGTATTTATATATCATGAAGTGTATTCCTAAAGCTTGAATTCATTAATTTGTTTCTAACGGGTTCAATGATCTGGAACGTACAGAACGTGACTTGAACCACGATTTCAATGGGCTCAGAAACAAAAGTTACATTTATTGAGTTGGGTTGAATAGAAAATGTATACGGCCACTTACCTATCAGGTAACTTTTTGGTAGCTTTGTTATTCCGATCTGCTATTTAGTGGTCCTATTTACCTAAATGTTTTGTTTTGGTCTTGTTTTTGTTTAATTTTAGAGAAACGCGCTTAAGGCTTTAACCACGTTAAATTAATCAGTCAACTTTTCTTATAATTAAAAATTCAACTTATATTCCAAATTTAATATGTACAATTGTTTTAAATCAACAACAAGATGAAAAAAAAAGACATAAATTGAACACGTTAAGTTTTATTTTAGGAAATAATTCACGCTCACTATTCAGGTGAGATAAGTATTTTTTTTTTATTAATAATCTAACCTAAGTTGTGTTTCTTGTAGCACACCGACAGTGATTTTAATTTGATTTGCCACTATGCAGGATTATAGTACTGTATCATAAGGCCAAACAAACAATCAAGCAACCTTGGTTCTAGGCATAACACAGTAATCCATCCAAATAGAAGGACACGTTATTTCAGCAGTCATTGATGAATTTTGACAGCAAAATAATTAATACAGTGAATTAAGTAGCGTACATCTGATGATGTTACTTATTTCTCTATGAAACATTTAACTGACAATTTGTTGACTCTTTAACTACTACGTGAAACAGTTAAATCAAAAATAACTTAATATCCATAGGTTGAGGAACCGAGTACACTTTTGAAGTTATGTGATGTCATACTGGTAATAGCGCAATTGCATTTTTATACACAAACACAAATTACACATATTACTCATTTCTGAATAAGATAAGGTGATTTTTCAGATCTGAATAATAATGTGTACATAAGAAAATAATACGAAGTAGTATTCAAAAATCTTTAAAATACGTGAAATTTGTAATTCCGGTTTATATACACCAGTTATATTTGTCTAGAGGCAGAAAGAATTATTAGATTTTAGTTCTACGTGGGTCGTTTAGACCCACATACTTTAGGTGGGTTTAATTTAGTGAAATAATTTTGCTTGAGGTATAAAAAAAAGCGAATGAACTATTGACAAGAGTATGTTTTTCCTAATTTTCAAAATTAGTGTTTCATTGATAACATAAAGTTGGATTTACGGAAAACATAAACAGTAAAAACCCTCTATAGATAAAATTAAAGAAATTGTCATTATTTATTAATTTAACAGGAATTACAAACATTTTGACAGAATATAGTATATTCGTTTTTAGTGTGACTTATTAGTCATATAATAAATCACTTTTATAAAATCTTATCACCTGTTGTTATAAATGAAATGTTGTTACTTTCTTTTCGTATTTTTGAGGCCATTTTTAATAAATTGAAGTGAATTGGAACTCTCCAATTAGATTAGAGTAAAGGATGACCGGAAAACCCAAATATTTCAAAACAGGCTCACATTTCTTATTAGGAACATTTCGAAAGCTGATCAACTGGAGATGACGACAGAATTTTGACAGCTGTTAATGTTTAGTGTAGACTTAAGAAAATAACAACAGAAATCGAAAACTGGTCCAGAAATACAGCTGAGACGTCTTTTAAAGGTGTTAAAACTCTAGTAAGAAGACTGGGGTAAAAAACAACCACGAAGAATAGAAATTTAAACGTTGCCGTGATAAGGTAATACCAATTCCTAGATTTGGCTGGTCTCCCGGATAAAAACAAGTGAAACAAATGATTCAATACTCTGCACTTTAAAGTATTCGAGAACTGCAACATAGAGCATTAAACAATTAAAAGTTTTGCTAACCAGCAGCGCTGCATGTTAACATAAACATATATAGACTAAAGTAGCTAGTATCTCATCTGTACGTTAATGTATGTAAAATCACTGTATTCAGGCTTACGAAACATAACACAGTAAAGTGAAGATACTAAATATTTGCTCTTTAAATAGATAATTTTGTAAACTTAAGAATGTTTGAAATGACAACAGTGATTACACACACATATATATTTATATATGCCGACAGAGTTTCAGAATGTTTGTACAAAGCTACACACAAAAAAAGCCTTCCCTCATATGAAACAGATAGACTAGATGGAAGACAGTTATTTCACAGCACTCGTCGCCAGCTTTTGGACTATTATTGTCTGATCAAATAATGGGATTTGACTGTCACTCTTATAGAAAAACTGCAGCTCCAAAGTGCGGAGTTCATTTTTACGACAACGAGCAGACATCCGATAATTTTAGGATTCACTATTTGGGTACGCTAATATATAAGCCACACCCGGGCTATATATATATTTGTAACTCAACAAATATTTTGGATGTTATTACCAAATAATCTGGTCAATCACTAAAACACGTGATTAAAATTTCTCAGAACACATGTCGCATGCTGGTTATGACAACAAACAATGATGTGTAAAATAACACACTTTCACATTTAGTTTACATTTGATTGGACAGTGACAATAAAGTTAATGCCTGAAGTAATGACTAAAAAAAGAAGTACATAACTCGTTATATCGTTCAGACTTTCCTCCTCTGATCTAAATCGTTTCTTAATTTTTAATATTTATTTACAGATATGTCATTAATTTCAAGTTTTAAATTTAGTTCCAGAAGATAAATGCATTTTGATACTGTTTATATATTTGGGTTGTATTTCTAGTTTGTTTGTTTGTTTTTGAATTTCGCGCAAAGCTACACGAGGGCTATCTGCGCTAGCCGTCCCTAATTTAGCAGTGTAAGACTAGAGGGAAGGCAGCTAGTCATCACCACCCACCGCCAACTCTTGGGCTACTCT